AGTATTTAGGTTTCATCTTAGACCAACTTGCTGTGTGCATTTCAGCATCCATTTATTTATTTATTTGTCCTGGGAAGGCCTAGTCAAATGACTAAGTTAACAATATCACACACATGTTAGTGTACCCTGTAGGTGTAAAAATTCAGCTTTGTTTGCCCTTGTTCTTGAACAAAAGCTTCTTCTTTGCTAGCCTCCCAAATGTTCCTTGCCATTATGTAGAAATACATTCATTTTAAAACAAAGTAAATTCTGTACCTTTTGAAAAAATTAAAAGAAAAATCATACACCGAAACACACATATACACAATGACATTGACATTATCCTGTTCCCTCTCCCATGTGCCTTAGAATTATAGCCAACACCTGTGGCCATGCAAGGGGCAGATCTGGCAGCTGCAGAACCCAGATGTCAGACACTGGATTGTACATCCCTGGCAGCAGTCCCTAGTTGAAACCTGTCTCCTTAACTGACCTCTGAAATGGTCTATTGTCTGACTCCCTTTCTGGCCTGGGTAGTGACTAGCAAGCTCTCTGTCAGGGCTGGTTCCAAGTCAGCCAACTGATGGTTTGTTCTGGACGCAATTATCCTTTGATTGTAAGGAATTTATTTATTCATTTATTTATTTTGTAAGGGTGAAAACTGGGATCGGGTAATTCTTAACAAGGAATTACATTCAAGTTTTTTGCAAAGGCAATGTAAGTTGTTTTTTGTTTTGATTGTCTTTCCAAACTGAAATTGAATGAGATCCACTCACCCAATTTACATTTTAGCACACAGTAAGCATTCGCTAATAAGAAGTAAAATTAAGAAATTCGGGCACTTTTCCCCTCCAACAGAAGACTGGTTTCCTTTTATTGATTCTTCTTTCCTCCTTCTCCTCCTCCTCCTCTTTTGTTTTCCTTTTATTCGTTCTTCTTCCCTACCCCTCCTTCTCCTTCTTTTTTAGACAGGATCTCATTCTGTCGTCACAGCTCACTGCATCACTGCAGCCTCGACCTCTCCAGGCTCAGGTGATCCCCAACCTCAGCCTCCTGACAGCTAGCATTACAGGTGCACACCACCAAACCCAGCTAATTTTTTTTGTAGAGATCGGGATTCACCATGTTGCCCAGGCTGGCTTCTACTACTTCTCAAAACTACCTCTTAATGTTGAAAATAAAATCCATTTTTCTTCAGAAAATTAAGGAGGTACAATTTTATTTTTGCTATTACTAAAAAAAAAGTCTCACCTTATACAGAGAAGAGCTCTTTGTATCATGAGTTTTCTTGATTCTTTAAAGAGGAAAATAACGACATTACAATCTCATTTTCGTACCACTTGCTGAAGAAAGACATTTGTAAGATGCAACCATCTTTGGAATAAGATAAGAAAAGGCCAAGTATCTAAGGGGGCTCCATTTACAATGCAACACTGTTAGCCCTACAAGGAAGGTCTGTGGTATATACAGTTATTCATGGCAAGCTAAGGAGATACATGCCTGACACTAACAGGAAGATAAATTTTGAGGAAACCATAAAATATAATAACATATGCAACATAAAATGGTATTCATCTACACCATGTAAAATGTTCCAAATTTTCTTTATTGACTTTCATAAAAATGTAAATATGTCTCTTGGATACCACTGATTAAGACTTGGAAAAAAGCCTGAATATTCCTGAGTTCATACTAATATAAATCAACAACTCATAAACAAATCAGGGAAAAGAGACAAATCTCTCATGCAGAAGAATTCCAAATAATTTATGTGATACTTGCCTTTCAAGGAGGTGGAATTTAATTCCCCACTCCTTGAGTTTGGGCCATGCTTTGTGAATTTAATTCCAGAGAGTATAGAAAGGTTGGGGGAATAACTTTTTCAGTGCAGAAATCTGAGAAGCACTACTTTGGCCAGGTATTCAAAGTCAGCATCATCAGTAATAAGTCATGTTTATAACATATAGTACACTTAATATAATATGACATAATCTCACTGAAAGGTGTATCACCTTTATAATATTTCTCCAAAACCCCATATCCCCAGTATCACCATGTGAAAACGTTAGATAAACCCCACTTGAGAAGCATTCTACAAAATACTTCACCAGTACTCAAAACTGTCAAGATCATCAAAAATAAAAAGTCTGAGAAACCGTTGAAGCCAAGAGGAGCCTAAGGAGATATAATGACTAAATAAATGTAATATGTTATATTAGATAGGCCGCTGGAGGAGAAAAAGGACATTAGAGGAAAACTATGAAATCTGAACAGGGTGTGCAGTGTAGTTAACTGCAATGTATCAGTGTTGATTCCTTGGTTCTAACAAATTTACTGTAGTTATGTGAGATGTCAACAACAGGGGAACTAAGTGAGGGGTACATGGGAACTCCCTGTGGCATCTTAATAATTTTTCTGTAAATCTAAAACTAGTTCCAAAATAAAAAATTTAAATTTTAATAAGAATGACATATTGTCATATCGATTGAAACAGAGTTCCTTGTGTCAATCAATACATCTTTCGTTCTTTCCCGCACATACCTATCTGCCAAACCATATGGCATAAAGAGTCCTTTTCCTGAAACATAAGAATACTTCATCCTTCAAGCCAATGTAGTATGAATGGAGATGGACTTATTCTGAAAGTTTTAGATTTCCCAATAATACCTAGGTCATGCCCTTGGTAATATGGCACAAATGCTCAAAAGATAATGTCTATAAACCTGTATTTCTCAAAAGCTGTAAAACACAGAACATCCTTCAATTACATTTCCAGTAAACTTATATTTTGTGTGAGTTATTAATGACATAATTAATAACAATGCATTCATCTCTGAAAGAAACACATTCTTTGCTAGATTACCGAGAGCAGTGTTCATTTATTGATCAATTGTTATTATTTGAGGCACAGAGGTAAAGTCCGATGTACCTCAGTTTCAGAACATGGGTGAAATTAGTTCCTTGCTTCTCCTCACCTGCCATTTAGAATTAAGAGAAATGAAATCTCTGGGAATTTTAGAAGAGATACTCTTCCCTACTGTTTTCGATTTACCATTTTTCTTTAAGAAAAGAAGAAACAAGTGTTGATATCAATGAACGTTTACTTGAAAAAACTATTACGGGTTTCTGCAATTGTTAATAAAAATTGTGCCTTTGTTAACATTTTAATCATATAACTTTAGAAGTTCAGATGATCAAAATTTAATTAGCCAGGATAATAAACTGGTCAGAATTGCCTCTCTCATACTGTTTTGTAGGAAAGAATGCAAACGTCCTTAAAGAAAGCTTGGGGAAAAAAATACATGCAAGTTCTTGAATGTATTTTAGGACTAAAAATAAGATTCAAGACTGGATGTGGTGGCTCACACCTGTAGTCCCAGCACTTTGGGAGGCCTGAGCAGGCAGATCACCTGAGGTTGGGAGTTCGAGACCAGCATGGCCAACATGGTGAAACCCCATATCTACTAAGAAATATAAAAATTAGCTGGGCATAGTGGCAGGCACCTATAATTGCAGCTACTCAGGAGGTTGAGGCAGGAGAATGGCTTGAACTCAGGAAGCAGAGGTTGCACTGAGCTGAGATCGTGCCATTGCACTCCAACCTGGGCGACAAGAATGAAACTCCATAAATAAATAAATAAATAAATAAATAAATAAATAAATAAATAAAAGATTCAGTAAAATCACTTTCACATTCTATACCTATAGTACTTGCAATAACAACATATATTAGGAAAAAAACCATAATACTGAGGAAAAAAATGTTCACTATGGAATTCTTAGCTAAGGCAGAACAGTCAACTAACATACTTTAGGAATATTCTCATAGAAAGGTATTTAATATGGAAAGAAAATACTGGAAAGTAGGGGGGATCTACAGTTAATGTAGGTAGCTGTTTTTTTTATGTTGTTCATTAAGAAGTTCAATTAGGGCCGGGCATGGTGGCTCAAGCCTGTAATCCCAGCACTTTGGGAGGCTGAGGTGGGTGGATCAAGAGGTCAAGAGATGGAGACAATCCTGGTCAACATGGTGAAACCCCGTCTCTACTAAAAATACAAAAAATTAGCCGGGCATGGTGGCGCGTTCCTGTAATCCCAGCTACTCAGGAGGCTGAGGCAGGAGAATTGCCTGAACCCGGGAGGCGGAGGTTGCAGTGAGCCGAGATCGCGCCATTGCACTCCAGCCTGTGTAACAAGAGCGAAACTCCGTCTTAAAAAAAAAAAAAAAGAAGTTCAATTAATATGCATTTTGCATTGTATTACACTATTGTGTGTGTATGGCCAATAACAAGAATTATAACAATCCCTTTCCCAGAATACTGATGATGCGCCAGCTTTTAGGCTGCCAGGCATTTGACAGACACCACCTATAACTTAACATAACCCTGCAAGTTATGAACAATTAGTGTTTAACAATTGAGGGAACTGAGGGCACCAGAAATTAGGGAACTGATTGAAAGCCCCACCACTTATAAGGGAGGGAGCCATTACAAACTCTGTCTGGCCACCTTAATTGCCTGAACTCTTTCCCACCATATCATTCATACAGCTCTGTTATCATATATTATAATTACTAACTATTAAAGTAAGCATTTACTTATCACTGAGTGATGTAAGTCATTTAGTTTTTCTAGGCTTCAATTTTCTCTTGGGTAAAATGAAGCTGACTTATTGATTTCTAATATTTAATAGAAACACTGATTTATATACAGAATAAAAGAGTGTAAATGGTTGTTTTTGCAATACTTTTGTTTATAAAAGAAAATCATGAACACTGGCCCTTACTAAGTGTTGTGAAGATGGGACTGATCTAGAAATGCTCATGTCATCTCTCTCAAATCCCTCCAGTCTCGTTAAGCCAGGGCTAGTGATCTTACCATTTTCAATGTTATTCCTTAAAACTTACATGTAAGAGGAAATTGGATATTTTTCCCTGCACTGTACAAACTATACTCTTAAACTTTTTGGCTCCTAAAGAATCAATAACTTGCATTCAGATATAAATAACGCAAAGAAACCCATTTTTCTGGCTCTGAAAATAATCAAAATTTTTATTTTAATTCACATTTATTTAAATATAATATTTTTATAGACACATGAAGGTACATATAAACATTTATGACACGGTAGACATAAATATAGATGAAATGTTTAGGTATTTTAGACAAAATTTCACACATACATTAGACAAACTGACTATACACTCGCATTTAGTTTCAAGGGTACATTAACATAGATATTTGAAAAGGATGTGCTTTTACAAAACTCCTACAAAATGTTCACATTTGCATCAGTAATAAGTTATATTTCCTAGACTGATGTTTTATAAAAACCATGTAAAGATCTAATTTCATCATTAACCACATGATATTATTTGTAAATGAAGCATATTTTTGTCAATAGAAATGTTCCTATAACTTTTAAATAACATAGCATTTTTATTAAGACCATGCCACATCTATTAAACAAACATGCATAATGTTTTAAAACTTGAATAATTCATGTACCTTTATGCACTGTGTTTAGTTTCACTATGGCACTCTATCTTTGTGAAAAAAATATACTTAAAACTTGGCACAGAGTTAATAAATCATATTGCTGGTAATCAAAATAAATGTGATTTCAATTTCCCATGGCATAGAAAATTCTCCATCACAGTTTACCTCTTCCCTTTACAGTTTATGGACCAATGGCAGTTTTGTTTTCATTAAAGTAAACAATGGATATTCAAGAACTAAGTCATATCTATGTGTTCTGCCTATACTCTGATTGGAAATGAGTTGATTTTAGTTTCTTCAGCAGTAAAACATTTCCATCTGTATGGTGGCCAACAAATTTCTAAATAAGGGTGTTATCAGCAATAATATGTATCATCACGAGATGTTTTTCTTTAGGAGGCAGAGAGGATGAAAGGAAATGTGGATCTCTTCATAAACTGGGAACATATGTGATAAGGAGAGCAAATGCCAACTGAGGCAGAAGCAGGGAAAGTTCTTTGGAAAGCTGGTTAGAGAGCACACCGAAGTAGCAAAAAGAGAACAAAGGTGGGAACACAAAAATTATTCACGACGGAAAGGGCTGCCATGGGTTTAAGAAAACGGAAATGGGCCACTCTAGAAACAGGACGCAGTGCAGTTCTAGCACTCTCATATCAGCAAACTATCACTGCTGTTTAGGACAAATTTTAAATTTCCACATCAATACATCTAAAGTGAGACTGAAGAAATATAAGCTAACTGGCACCTGTTTTCTGAATTCATTCATAAACACTGTGGAAGAGAAAAATTCGGGAATAACACTAATTCAACTTCCTACAAACCAGAAAAGAGACTTCACACCCACCTCAAGCTCAGGCTTCAGAGCTGTGGTACTAAAAAATGCCACAATTCTTTTTCACAGTTCTTCTAAGATAAAAATTGAGGTGTTATATTTTGAGAGACCATCTGAAGGAATCGACTCCTTTTATAAAACCTTCATAGCCTAATTTTTAAATTTATTATGTGGGAGAAAGGAAGTAGAACTTAAGTTCAGTTTTTATACAAATGTTCTTTTTTCTAAAAAATAGAGTAATGAACATAATGCTATTTTCTTTACTTAAGATCCTTGCTTTGCTGAAGGCCTTAAACAGTGAAACGGCAAAGAACATCAAACAGGTTAAATAAAATAGGCAAACTTATATTTTAAACTATTAAGGTACAAACAGACATAAAGATTATGAATCACAGAGCACTGAATTTTCAAGAGTGAAATCATACCAAAACCGGGATAAGTTTTCGCTGACATCATAGGAGAGTAAGTGGTCGGGAAGGTCAATGATGGTGCCCTGCACTGCCAGCACATGCGGGGCCAAGGTGAAGGGTACATCGCTCAGCAGCTCGGCCATTAATGAGCTGTTCTCCAGAGTCTGGCCTGCCTTATTTTCCGTCTGAGGGTCTGATACAGTCACACTGGATGCATTTTCTTTGTTGGTCTAAAAATACATATATTTAAAACATTTAGACCTTGTGAACTTTGAGGTTTAGTCACGGTAAATGTGGCATTAATACATCAAAATGATTGAGAAATGTGGACTATATAAATATTCTCAGATTTGAATGCAGCTATTTACTTTCCTTTAGAATGACATTCATCCAAATCTTGTTAGGCTTTAAAATGCTCCTAAACTTTAACTCAGACTGACCACCCACAGACCCCTTAAATACAAACTGGCCTTCTTGTTATTTCCCGAGCTCAGATAACGTCTGCAAAGTCTGTCTCCACTTTTCCAAATCTTATGTGCATTTTCAGGCTCTGCGAAATTCTCAGCTGCCCTATAAAATCTTGTATCACTGGAGTCCAAAGTGATCTTGCCCATTTCAGAATGCTTATGGGGCAAATTGCCTAGTATGTTATTTGGTATCGCCTATATGTGTCCTTTCTTCTTGCTGTTCCATATGCATATATATCTTATCTCCAACTAGATTCTAGGGTCCTTGAAGGAAAGCAATCTATCGGGCATATCTTTGTATTTTCAATCTTGTACACTTTACTGTTTAACACTAATATATATGTACTCATAATACATCGCTAATGTATACCATGAGTATTGATTGATTGCCTGACTTTCACTGGAACTAACCTGTTATGTCACAAAATTTATTCAATTTTTTTTAAGAAAGGATATATCCTGTTCAGTTTCTTCACAATTAACTCTCTCTTGCAAATCACCTAAATATCAATCAAGAGAAGAATGGATAATAAATTGAAAATCTATTTACAGCAATGAAGATGAATGGCCTGCCACTATGAGCACCTGAAACCCAACTCAAACCAGCCTGGACAAAAAACGACCCCACCCTGCCCCTCAATCTCAGGCAGAATAAAATTACCAAGTTTTTACAGAGGCCTACTAGCTTCTTCATGATCCGGCTCCAGGTGTGCCTCTGACCTCATGTCCAGCTAGTGTGCCCTGGCCTATTCCTCTTCAGTCCCACTGTCTCCTTGCTAGTACAAGTGCTTGCTTGTGCACATCCAGCCTGCTTCTGCCTCAGGGCCTCTTTCCATTCCCTCTGTATAGGACACTCTTCTCCCAGACACACACAGGGCTACTTCCCTTATCTCCCTCCAAATGCTAGCCCAGACGCCACCTCAATGAGGCCTTTTCTCACTTACACAAAACCTGCTTTTATGTGTTTTTTTTGTTTGTTATTTTTTTGAGATGGGAGTCTCACTCTGTCGCCCAGGCTGGAGTGCAGTGGTGTGATCCCAGCTTACTGCACCCTCTGCCTACCAGGGCTCAAGTGACCCTCACTGCCTCAGCCTCCCAAGTAGCTGGCACTATAGGAGCATGTCGCCATGCTTCTAATTTTTGTATTTTTTCGTACAGACAAGATTTCACTTATTACAGACAAGATTATATTGCCCAGGCTGGTCCTGAACTCCTGGGCTCAAGCAATCTGCCTGCCTCAGCCTCCCAAAATGCTGGTATTACAGGTATGAGCCACTGGGTCCAGTAAAGGAACTTTCATAGCTCACGTTCACTGCTGTATCCCACATGCCTAGATCAGTGCAATAAACCTAACTCAAACCAGCCTAAAGATTTACTGGGCTTATGTTTTTGGTTTGTAGGCTATTAATTACTGCCTTAATTTCAGAACTTGCTATTGGTCTATTCAGAGATTTGACTTCTTCCTGGTTTAGTCTTGGGAGGGTGTATATGTCCAAGAATTTATCCATTTCTTCTAGATTTTGTATTTTATTTGCAGAGAGGTGTTTATAGTATTCTCTGATGGTAGTTTGTATTTTTGTGGGATCAGTAGGGATACCCATTTTTTTACTGTGTCTATTGATTCTTCTCTCTTGGCTTCTTCATTAGTCTGGCTAGTGGTCTATTTTGTTAATCTTTTCAAAAAACCAGCTCCTGGATTCAAGGATTTTTCTGAAAGGTTTTTTGTGTCTCCATCTCCCTCAGTTCTGCTCTGATCTTAGTTAATTCTTGTCTTCTGATAGCTCTTGAATTTGTTTGCTCTTGCTTCTCTAGTTCTTTTCATTGTGATGTTAGGGTGTTGATTCTAGATCTTTCCTGCTTTCTCCTGTGGGTATTTAGTGCTATAAATTTTCCAGTATCCCAGAGATTCTGGGTCATTGTGTCTTTGGTTATAAATGCTGACAAATTCTTTGACTCATAAGTCTAAAGCAGAAGAATGATTTTCTGTATAAGAAATAATTTTGTAAAACTTTTTATTATAGTATAAAATACACACAGAAAAGATTATCTCATAAGTGTATAACTTGCTAAATTTTCACAAACTGAACACACATGAGCAAGCAGCACCCAGATCAAGAGAAGACCAGCCCCTAGAAGCCCTCCTGGTGTTCTCTTGCAGTCACAATCAACCCCCATCCCCTCAATCACAATCCTCATTTCTAACAGCACAGAATTGGTTTTACTTGGTTTTGTGTGTGTGTGTGTGTATATATATATATGTATGTATATGTTTATTTATTTTATTTCATTGACTTTTCCTTTTTGAAACAAAGATTCGCTCTTGTCGCCCAGGCTGGAGTGCAATGGTGCAATCTCAGCTCATTGCAACCTCCACCTCCTAGCTTCAAGTGATTCTCTTGCCTCAAGAGTAGCTGGGACTACAGGCAACTGACACCATGTCCAGCTAATTTTTGTATTTGTAGTAGAGATGCGGTTTCAACATGTTGGCCAGGCCGGTATTGAACTCTTGACCTTTGGTGATCTGCCTGCCTTGGCCTTCCAAAATGCTGGGATTACAGGCATGAACCACCATGCCCAGACTGGTTTTGTATTTTAAATAGATGTAATCATACAGCACAAACTCTTGCTTCTGACTTCTTTCACTCAAAATTATGTGGATGAAATTCATCAGCATTGTTTCATGTTAGATGAAAAAAATATTGAAGAACATATTGTTCTCTGACTGATGTTTTAAAAGAATCACCCTGGTTGGTGGGTTGACAGCAGATAGTAGAGATGGAGTGGCCAGGTAAGGAAGTGGGAAGATAGCTGGGAATGAAAGATTACTATGAAGTAGATTAGAGCAGGGATAGCAAAAGTGAGATGAAATGGTTGGATTTTTAGAGAGACAGAATGGATGGTGGGGGTATGAGAACAAAAGCATAGTCAAGGATAAAGCCAAAGTTTTTGGCCTGAACAATGAGACAGATGGAATCACCACTTATAGGGATGGGAAAGAGAACCAGGGAGGAGAAATGGGTGGAAAGATCAATAGTTCAGTTTTGGAAGTTTCAGTGCCTAGCAGACATCAGGTGGAGCTGTTAGTAAGCACGGGGATATAATTTGAATCTAGAGCTGGATGAGAACTGGTGGGGAAGGCGAAGAGAAAATAAGACAGTACTTCCTAGGTGTTAAGATGTAAATGGAGAAAGATATATGGGCCAGTAGTTAAAAAGGGATGTGTAGTCAAGAAACGTTTCTTTTGATTTTTGTTTTTCTTTTTAAGTTAGGAGAAATAATGATGATTTATAAAAAGCAGCTCATAAGAAAGGAAAAATCCATAGAGAATTTATAGAGAAAGAACTCGTCATAAAGTATCTCCAACACCTAAAACAGGGGCCATCAAGAAGTATTTTTTAGTGAATGACCTTGAATTAATAAAGTTAAAAAGCGCATGCCTGTAAGAGTGGTCTTATAATTTCATGTGAAAATAATAACAGAGTACTGTTTTAGGACTGCAACTAACAAATGTAATCATACTCTGTTATGATAAAGCTTGTTATAAAGACGTATGTCTGCAGTGGGCAGATACTGTCTCCTGAAATCGAATTGGGCAGACAACAGTGCAGGTGTGAGTAATGACACCACCATTCTAGTCTCTTAAAGGGCTTCCCTATACTGGTTTATATAGAAAAATGGAAAAGGAAGCAACATTTGGGTGTACCATAAAATCTCAAGATTCCATATGCACTAGGGCTTTGATCACCTGTGAGCAGGAGAACAAAGTGGTTAGGAGCACAGATTCCAGAACCAAGCTGCTTGGTATAAATTCCAGGTCTCTTGTTTATTAAGAAGCAAATGGCCTTGGGCAAATTATTTAACTTCTCTGTTCTCAGTTTCCTTAGCTGTATTATGAGATTGATACTAGTTAAGTATTTTATAGAATTTTTAAATGCAAGGATTAAATAAAGTTATAAGTAAGCAGAACAGTGCTTGGCACATGTTAAAGTAAGTGAATAAATAACATTTCAGAAATGCCGGATCCCATTTGGCTTTAGATAAAGTTTAGAATACATTCATTTCTTTTGACACTCACTGGTAGTTCAAATAAAACTTGTCCCTTTCCTTTTTTTCCTTCTTTCTCTCTTACTCTCATATATAAATGCTCCCTAGATCTGGTAAGTCTCATGCCATACCCAAGCTTTCTTCTCTTTTTGTTTGTGTACAGAATGTTCCAGAGTTTCATTAGCCAAATAATCTCCTTTCTTAAACAAAAGCATTCCCGACATCCCACTTTCTCCACTAAAGCGGGAGACATAGGCGTACACTGTTTTCTTCCCTTTGCTTTACGGTGCTTCATAGATACTGCCTTTTTTCCCCACAAACTGAAGGTTTATGGCAACTCTGCATCAAGTAGGTCTATTGGAGCCATTTATCCAACAGCGTGTACTCCCTTTGTGTGTCTATGTCACATTATAATTCCCACAATATTTCACATTTTTCATTATTGTATCTGCTTTGGTAAGGCATGATCAGTGATCTTCGATGCTATTACTATATTTGTTTTGGAGTGCCATGAACCATCCCCATGTGAGAAGACAAATTTAACTGATAAATTTTGTGTGTTCTGACCATTCCACCAACTAGTTGGCCATTCCCCTATCTACCTCCCTGAGACATTTCAAGGTATTCTGTCACCCTAAGACACGACAATATTGAAATTAGGCCAATTAGTAATCCTACCAACGGCCTCTATGTGTTCAAGTGAAAGGAAGAGTCATATC